GCATAAGAGGCACTCACAATCCCTTAAGGCCATGCTTTGTACCTTAAAGATGAAGTGTGCAAGTAAGGAAAAAGAAGAAGGTAAGGTGGTGAAGACATGAGTTAGTCACGTGGGTTTGATCAAATGGAGAAACAAGAAGGACAAAGAGTTGTCCATTTCCTTCTATACAAGTTATGTGGGGCCCACAAAGTAGTTTAATTCCTTAATCGTATCTCCCTTTGGCGGAGTTTTCGTATAACAACAGTTATCACGCCAACATTTATCGACCTCATTTTGAGATGATCTGTGGGAGGAAGTGCACGACGCCGATATGCTCGGGTGAGGTCGGTTATCGAGTCATGAGGAGTACTGAGGTGGTACTCAAGACTACGGAGTTGATTCAACAGGTTCGTGGTAGACTCTAGACAGCTCAGAGTCGGCAGAAGAGTTATGCCGACAAGCGTCGATCAGACCTAGAGTTCCAGGTTAGGGATATGATTCTCCTGAAGGTGTCACCTTGGAAAGGTGTCATCCGATTCAGGAAAATGGGAAAGTTGGGCCCCAGATATATCGGTCCTTACAGGGGTTTGGCCCGGGTGGGCAGGGTTTCTTATCGCTTGGATCTACCCGAGGAGCTTAGTCAGATCCATAGCATGTTTCACGTCTCTTAGCTACGAAAATGTTTGGTTGATGATTCTGTAGTGGTTGCATTGGAGGATATTTAGGTGGATGATCGCCTGAATTATATCGAGAGACCGATTGTTATCCTTGACAGGAAGACGAAGGCTCTGCGGAACAAGTCGGTAGATCTGGTAAAGGTGTAGTGGCAGCATCGCAAGGGTTCAGAATGGACGTGGGAACCCGAGGTCGAGATGAGGGAGCATTATCCAGAGTTGTTCGCAACGATGGACTTCGAGGACGAAGTCTGATTCAAGTGGGGGAGAATTGTAACATTTGCATTTCTGGTATTTTTTCCTTTTAGCCCTTCATTTAAAAAACCTTGCAATTTGGTCCCTAGCCAAGTACTCTGGGCGTAATGGCTCGTTGGATTGGTCGCGGAGGCGCCCACCTACGCTGGGCGTACGTGGGGGTACGTGTGTCGTACAGTCACCAAGGGCAAACCCTAATTATTAGGGTTTGTGCCCTATTTATACACCTTAATTTTCTCATGGACTTTCTTATGACCAGCCTCCACCTCTCCAAACCCTAAGAACAAAAGCCTAATTTCCTTTTGAGTGTTTTGAGCTTGGAAGTGAATTTTGAAGGTGTTTTTGGTGATCTTGAAGGAAAAAGAACTATTGAAAGTTGCATTGGTGTGGCTAGAGCTTGTGGATCCAAAATCATCACCAACTTGGAAAGCTTTTTGAGGTATAAAGCTCTTAACTTGATGGTTCATTTTGATAGATCTAATTAGGGCTTGTTTTTGTGCTTTTTATGGTCCTTTAAGTCATACATGAGAGTATGAGCTACTCCAAAAGCTAAGGATGGTAGATCTTAGCATTTTTTAGGTCCCTTGTTCATAAAAATGCAATCTTGGTCTGTTATAGGGATGAGAATTTGGACCGGGGAACCGGCCGAAACCGGTATCGGAACCGGAACCAGAACCGGATAGAACCGATCGGCCCGGGACCGGATGATATTCTTGTGGATTTTTGGAACCGGGAACTGGAACCAGTAAACCAGCAAAAACCAGTAGAACCGGAAAAAATCGGAACCATATGTTCCTATTTCTCGAGGACCGGTTCCAACATTGAAGACATGGAAATAATCGGTAGGAACCGGAACCGGTAGAACCGGCGGTTCGGTTCGGTTCCTATTTTCCACCAAGTTCGGTTCCCGGGCCGGTTCCGGTTCGGGCTGGTTCCGGTCGGGTCGGTTCCGATGCCCATCCCTAGTCTGTTATATTGGACCATGCATGAGTTAGGGTTGTTATTATGGGTTTTATTGAGTATTGGGTCCCATTAAGATATGCAAATGAGTAAAGTTGCTAACTTTATGTGTTAAGACATCATTTAGGATCAAATTTGAGAATTGAAATTAGTGGCTTAACCGATTAAGCACTTAATGGTGAGTTTGGTTGGTTGTGGAGTACGTTGGGCGTACCCAGCTCATACGCAGCGCGTACTGGCCAAGGAGGGGGTACGCAGGGCGTAAGTCTGAGTACGTCGGGCGTACTCAGCAACCATTGACTTTTGTTGACTTTTGAGATTTGGGCCATATTTGGACTACTAGGGTTTTGGGTCTTGTTGGGCCATTAGTCTTTCTGACATTGGGTCATTGTTAGGCTTTGGGCATTCTTGGGTTTGGGCCCATAATGGGCTTTGGGCCTCATTTACGAATTAGGGCTATATTGGGCTTTTGGGTGTCATTAGGCGTGGACCGAATATGGTTTATGACCTAATTATTAATTAGGGTATTATTTGATGATATTTAGTGCGGAAGTTTCCCGAATCAGCAGTCCGAACATTTATCTGGTTGTTTCAGCAGTTTGAGGTGAGTCTCCTCCTAGTGTTTAGCGGGTCGAAGGAACCAATGTCGGCCCATGATTTGTGGTCATTGGTTTACTAGTTGTCTATGTGACATTGCATGTGTTATATGTGTACCGGGCGGGGCTCGATGCCAGGCGGGGCCTGATGAGTGTGTGATAGTATGATAGTTGTCACTTTACTTGTGGGTCGAAGACACCAATGCCGACCTAGTGGATTATGTTATAGTATACTAATTTTCCTTATGACTCTTGCATGTCTTGTATGTGTTTGTATGTATACCGGGTGGGACTCGATGCCAGGTGGGGCCCGATGAGTGTTTTGGGCGGGGCCCATCTCATGTTACTGACAGACATGTTCTGGGTGGGGCCCGATGGTTGTGGGGCATGACCCATTGTATGTTTGATACGTATGGTATGAGGTATTTTGGGCACTCTCTAAGCTTTATTCTTATAGTTTTCAGTTTATGTTTCTGGTACTTCCGGATGGAAAGGGAAAAGCTCGGGGTGATCGCATCGCACACACACCATGATTTCCGCTTTATATGACTATGATGTATTGAGATGATTGATTGACTTACTCTGATTTTCCTTTATGTTTTTATGAACATGTTTGGTGGGTGGTTTTATTACTATGAAAAATGAAATTTTTGGTCTTGAATTTTAGGACGTTACAAAATATATGTTAGAATTGATCTTGGTAGTTTATCATTGATTTTGCATCTAAAATGCTTGAAGTATTTTCCTTTAAATTTGGTGTTTTTTGTAAATATTGTGGCAATATTTGTGTTTTTGACGATTTTTGTTATGGATTTTTGTAAATGGTATGCCTTTTGAATCATTAATATATTTGATTTTTGGTTTTAGGAGGGCCATTTTTCTTATTTCGCCCAATATATGTTTAGACTGGTCATGTTTGGTAGATGAGGTAGAGGCTTGCATGAGGGATTTCAACGTTGTTGTCTATATACAGGGGCTGTTTTAGGCAGGTCTTGGTGTAGCACCGGCAACACCAGCTTTTTCCGTCCGCAATGGAAAAAATTTCGATTTTTTTACCTCTTTTCCATGATCGGCAACACCTATTTTTTCTTAGCAACACCTACTATGTATTTCTACGTCCAACTTTGTCTATATAGATGTTGAGTGGGTGTGAAACATACAAAGAGTTAAAAGAAAGGAATGAAGGAGATGTGCAAGATAACATAAAGATTAATGTTATACAAAATGAAGAGTTTGAATATGATGGTTATGAACCTCAGGCAGAGGAGGAAATACTACAAAGGCTTCATATGAAAATGCATCAAACAATACCACATAATAAATTGTTGTACGAAATAAAGAAATGGAGAGTTTGAATCTTATGATTGTTTCTAAATGAACATTTTTTTCGGTTTTTAATCCTAGTCGTAATAAGTGACAACCAGTCTCTTAGATGTCGAAATCAACACACAGGCTTTGTTCTCTTGTTTGGTGCCTCTTCATGGCGTGAGAATGGTCAACACAATCTCGCTCCTTTCTGTGGTAGCGTGGAATCTAATATAAAAGGAGTTGGCTACGAGTGACATGAAAAGTATACCTCACAAAATTACTAGATAAGTTTATTATTCGGATAAAACCAAATTATCCCATTAAATAATTTTAATATTATGATATTCGTTTTGTTGAATTGTTTGCATTAAAATTTTAAATTTTATTTAAATTGGTTTGGTTATATTTGTTATATAAATCTTTCCTTATTTAATATTTTATTAGTTTTTAGAATAAAAAATTAAAAACTATTACATTTAAAAAAAAACGCTCATGTTTTCGGAAACATTCATATATTGGATATCATGGGTGTCAATCGTGTCATATTTGGATTAACAGATCGCAGGTTAGAAAGCTCAATCCGGACATGAACCATATAAATTTTTGTGTTGTCTTGTTTAACACTAACCGGGATACAACCCGCGTAACCCGTCTAATTAAAAGGGTTTGCGGGGTCGTGGGTCGTTTCGGGTTCATTGATCAGAATCAGGTTTTCGGGTCACGTAAAATAAACGGGTTCACAAGTCAACCCATGAAATCGGGGTTGTAGGTCACGGGAAATAAATACATATTTTTATTTTTTTAATTTATTAAAAAAACGTATCCACTGGTCAACTCACAAAATTATTTGTTAATCCGAATACAACCAATATAATAAATGGGTTGATGAATCAGAAAAATTCAACCCAAAGATATTTATCTTCGTGGTGGATTCATATTGTACCCTTCTTGAGATATCAAGTATGATCTCAAAGATATGATTCGTGTGTATTTGTGAACTTAGAATAACCCCAAAACCACCTTGTTGTCTAACCAACCGGTCAAACATCCAAGCATGACACCCTCCTCCGTCACCCCACCATTCTCCATTGTTTATTATATTTCTATTTGAATGGTGGGTTCGGCACGTGCTGTTCAACTAAAACCCCATCTATATCTATATATAATAATATATTACAAAAACTCATCCTCATAATTAATCAATCATCACAAATACCTCAAAAACAACATGAAAGAGGATTCTCTGACCACCGTGTGTGTCACTGGAGCTGCCGGATTCATTGGCTCATGGCTTGTTATGAGACTTCTTGAACGTGGGTACAATGTTCATGCCACAGTTCGTGACCCCGGTATACATATATAGTCCTCGATTGTTTTTTATTAATTAAGATATTGTTGGTTAGTTTGGTTAAAAGTTAAAACAAATATAACGTAAGTTTGATCAAACAGATGACATAAAGAAAGTGAAACATCTATTGGAACTACCAAAAGCAGAAACAAACTTGACGTTATGGAAGGCAGATTTGACACAAGAAGGAAGCTTTGATGAAGCCATTGAAGGTTGCCATGGAGTGTTTCATGTGGCCACCCCTATGGACTTTCAATCCAAGGATCCTGAGGTAGCTACATGACTAACATTATACTTTTTGCATGCATATTCCATTCTCGTAGGATGATCGATAACGAATATTATTATATATATTACAGAATGAGATCATAAAGCCAACAATAGAAGGTGTTTTAAGCATCATAAGATCATGTGTGAAAGTCAAAACAGTCAAGAAACTGGTGTTTACATCTTCTGCCGGGACTGTGAACGTGCACGGAAATGATCAACTTCCGGTCTATGATGAGTCTCATTGGAGCGATTTGGACTTCATCTACTCCAAGAAAATGACTGCTTGGGTACGTTTCAATTCGTTGTTTTTATTATCAATTATTTTCTTTGTCAATTTATACAAATATACAATCATGTTTTAATTTTTTAGCGGTTTATGCCACCCATTTAGTAAATTAATGCATTAACCTGTTTCAAATTGATAGATAAAGTATCCACAATGCATTGAATTTATTAGAGTTTAATAATTGACACAATGAAATATATTTTAAACAATTAAAAGGTTTTATTTTTTCCATTGAACTTTATATCTATTGAATGTCAAAATGACATCCCACAATGATAGAGTTTAATCTATTAAATGTCAATTAAGCATGTCATCCCATTCAACGCTCTCGTTAAACTATCCATTATGTATCTTCTAACAAAAAATGGTCATATATATATATATATATATATATATATATATATATATATATATATATATATATATATATATATATATATATATACACACATAAAGTGTATAATTTGTCCCCACTTCGGTATACTCGGTACTCTTTTATAGGAAAAAAACAAAACCCAAAATTCGGAATTTTAATTATTGAACATGTACATGTAATGTTTTTTTCACGGATCCACGGCTATTTCGTTGGACCGAATGATAAAAGAATATAACGATATGAAATTTTACAATATGGAAGGAATCACATTTTCTTTGGTTCACGTGAAATAAACCATTCTGTTTGTTTCCTACTCCATTATATCAAATACTACCTAAGTTCAAATACTTAGTCTGCTAATTGTATCGTTTAAATTTGTGAACAAACGCAGATGTATTTCGTATCGAAAACATTGGCAGAAAAAGCAGCATTTGAAGCAACAAAGGAAAACAATATCGATTTCATTAGTATCATACCGACCTTAGTCGTTGGTCCATTCATCACTCCCTCATTCCCTCCAAGCCTTATTACCGCACTTTCTTTAATCAATGGTACATACCACAACCCCCACAAAATCATAAAAGGGAAGACATTTTCTATATATGTTCTGACGTGTATGTGTGTTTACACTTAAACTAGGTGAGAAATCACACTATTCGATCATAAAACAAGGTCAATATGTGCATTTGGATGATCTTTGTGAGTCCCATATATATCTATATGAGAACCCAAAAGCCGAAGGGAGATACATTTGTTCTTCCCATGAAGCCACCATTCATCAGTTGGCAAGAATGATCAATGAGAAATGGCCCGAATACCATGTTCCAACTCAGTAAGAATCTAAAGTTGGTGGTTTTTCTTTCATTTTGTTTGTGTTGACATTCACATATATGGTGATTTGGTAGGTTTCCAGGGATTGATGATGAGTTACCCGTAGTTTCTTTTTCATCAAAGAAATTAACAGATATGGGGTTCAAGTTTAAGTATGATTTGGAGGAGATGTTCAAAGGAGCTATTGATAGTTGCAGAGAGAAAGGATTGCTTCCATATTCCACAATCAAGAAGAAAGTGATAGATGTAATGAAGACCTTGTTCATGGAGTTCTTCGTTCTATCAAAGACTAAGTGATAGATGTAATGAAGACCTTGTTCATGGAGTTCTTCGTTCTATCAAAGACTAAGTGATACAGTATCATGGACAAATTTGAAAATTTGAAAAGTTTGGTGTCTAGTTGTACCATTATAATAAGAAGTCGCCTTTTGTATGTGTGTGTGTTTTATTTTTGAACGATATTGTCGGTCTAGGGCCAAAAATGTATCTTTGTCAACCACTAGATCTTTATCAAATACATTCAACAAAGTTTGAATTTTGATGCCTGGATGCTATTAAAAGTTAAAACGAAAGACGATCAACATTCACATAATATAATTCCACATTCAGTGATGAATTACTTCATTTGTAGCACAACAAAAAATATATAAATAAATTGAATGGAAGAAATTGAAAGTATGACGATTGATGGTGCCAAAATTATGAAACTTGGACTTAAAGTGAGAGTTTCAATATACCACAAGGACCATTTCTGTAATTTACTCACAATTGTACTGTTGTTAATTTTTTCTTTCAGTTCTGGTGAGGCTATAGGGACCAAAATTGCAAGAGTATACTGTCTGATTCTTATACTGTATCCTAGATTATTTATCCTTATATTTATTTAATAATTACATTTAATTCTTTTTAATGACAACGTTAGAGCTTAAAATATTTTTTATAATACCTAAGAAAACTATATCACAAATATGTGCATTTTATTTAGAGACAGCAATAAGAAAGATGTTTTCTTTCTGTTGTTAAAATGTGTAGAGCAATATTCCACGACCACAATAGCCCTTTTAAACCTTTGTCCTTGTTCTAGAAACACAGTAAGAAATATCAGTAACGATGATTATACAAACCATCAACATAACCCATTGTAAGATACCACCACTGTAACCATATATTATTATTATATTACTTTCAAGAATCCTACCACATAAAAATAACACCAATTTTTACTGCCTCAAGCTTTCAACAATATAGGAGGCGTACAGATCCCTGCAATCACAAATATATATACATTTAAAAGACATTCAAGAAACATAGAAAGAGGCTACTTTAAAAGAAGAAAGATTCTGGATAACTCACATGGAATACTTGATAGCTTCAATTGCATCATTTGCTGGGAGGAAATCATTCACTTTCACTGACTTGTTCTCGTTCTTCTTGTCTGTATCAACTTAATTAAGGCTATACAATGCCCAAAATAAAAATTAAAAATAAATAAATAAATAAACGCAAATTTACGGATACAGTCCTCGAAGAAACGACGAATTTCAGCAAGACGATGAGGAGGAAGTTCTTTGATGTCAGTGTAGTGGCGAAATTCAGGGTCATCAGCACATACTGCTATGATTTTGTCATCAGATTCACCCTGCAAAACCAAAAAAAAAAAAATTCAAATTGGTCAAATAAGTTGAACAATGTATTCAAGCTAAATGCATGATTTGGCAATATATTGTTTCCTAATGTGAAAAATGGCAATGTACTTTCATATTGTTTCTTATAAGAAGAAATGAAAGTACAATGCTATAATAAAAAAAGTATTGAAAAGTACATGTGATGTACCTGGTCAATCATAGGCATTAATCCAATAGCACGCGCACGAAGGAAGGTGCCTGGGAGTACTGGTTCCTGTACAACCCAATTAACTTCCAAAATATTATATAATGGACTTTTTTTTTAGATTATTTATTTATTTATTATTATTATTCGGGGGGGATACCTGCATGAGTACCAATACATCCATGGGATCACTGTCTTCACAAATGGTTCTTGGGATGAAACCGTAGTTGTGAGGGTAAACCACAGATGAGTAGAGAATCCGGTCAACCTATTTTTTTTTTTAATTTAAAAGTCAAGAATGCACCAACAAATGTAGAAGATATATAAGAAAATCAATTATCTAAAATTCATTATATGATGAGAAACTTTACTTGTTATTAGGCAGAAGGCGAATTGATAAAAAGGTAGTAAGAAACAACTTTACCTTGATTAGGCCACTCGCCTTGTCAAGTTCATACTTCACTTTGCTGCCTTTTCCAATTTCAACGACCTAACATCATTTTAATTAAATAATTAATAATCTTAATTTACAAGAATCAGACAAACCAAAAATTGACAGAAATGTCGAAAAACATACACAGTTGAACACTGCAGGTGCACCTGGACCTGCATTTATCAACATAAAAAGAACCTTTAATAGTAGATTCGTGAACTTTGAAACCATTTCAAATAAAAAAGGGGATCCTTTAAAAGATTGTTAATTGCACACAAGATTTTTATAGTATTAGAAAATAAGTGATATTTGAGAAGGATAAAAGCTTTACCAATTTCCAAGTCATGCCATGGATGAGCAGCAACAGCTCTTCGTGACATTGAGTTGAGGATCCTTTCATTGAGGCTCACACGAGTATTTCCAGAGCTTTTCTCACTTCCTTGTCCCTCATTGTTAGCCATGTGTACCTTCAATTTCAAATTATTTAATAAATTATAATTTTAATTGACTCATTGTGAAACTATCACTTCTGTTAACACAGATTAACTGTATGAAACTGTTGAGAATACTAGCAAATAGATCTATTAAATATAAATGTAAAGACCAAAATACCCTCTGCCCTCCACCTGCAACCTTTTTATAAGAAGACCCCACAATTGACCTTAAGAGTCGAATGAACTAGTTTTAACTTTTAAAAAGTGGGAGCTTATTTTAAAAGAAAATTTGAAGTAAAAACATTATAATTATGTGGACCATATAAAAGGTATACAGAAAATATTTTGGGTCTTACTAACCAACCAAATAATTCAAAACATAAAGGCCAAATCTATTGCTACACCAACTTTACTATAAAAAATCCATTTATTTCTGTTTTCCTTATTATTGAATAGTGTGTAATTGTGAGAAGAGAATGTGTATTAAATCAAATTCTATTTTTACACTTAAAGATATGGCGACTTTGCTGATAATCAAAGATTTACAAACGAAACAATTATGCGTTTATGCTAAACCAAAATTTTACTCCACAAATGAATGAGTTACTTAATTTTTTTTTCAAGAAACTATTGTTCGATTTCATAGACCGATTCCCCTTGTTTGATTCCAAAAACTGATAAGAATTCTTCTGATTGTAGATTAAAAAACGATTATTAGATAAAACTATGAGAAAGTGAGAAAAACATTTCCAATTGATAATTAAAAACGATCGATGTAAAATTTGAGTTTCAGAAGTTTCAAAATCGAAAATTTGAAGACTTTTCTCCGAGTCAAATGGAGGAGTATTAGAAAATGAAAATTGCCAGAATCAAATTGGTGAAACGTAAGTGCATGTTAATCTGGAATGTAATTAGAAGTAAATCCGATAAATTAAAATGATAATCCATGAAACGAAGATTCAACACTTTATGTGTACGCTTTGTTTTTGAAATTTTTTTTTTTTTTTTTCCAAGCAAACAATCTTGTAACACTAAACGACTTCAAATCCATACATCTGACTGGAGAAGATGAAACAGAAAATTAGAAGATGAGCCCTAACAAGCAAGCTCTTCGATAATCATGCTAGGAACTTCTGCCATTCCAACAACTGGAAATTGATCCAAAAAATCGGATGAAATTTGCCGGAATCAAATTGGTAAAATGTAAGTGCATGCTAATTTGTCGTGAAATTAAAAGTAAAAGTAAATCGGATAAATCAAAACAATAATCTATGAAACGAAGATTCTACAAAAACACAATTCTACTACTAATAAGCCTTCAATAAACATACTAGCGCCTTGATTCATTCCAACATCTGGAAATTGATCCCAAAAAAAATCATCGATGATGAATGAAACGACATACTATAAGAAAAAAAAACAACCTAACCATCAGTCTCAAAGTCATTGACTTAGAACACAAACTCATCATAGCATACTAACAAAAAAACAATCGAATCAAAAACTAATTAACTAACAAAAAAAATTACCAGCAAAAAATCAGTGAAACAGTGAGTCTGTATTCTGTTCTTCTCCTTAACATTTTCACTTTGTTTACTTTTAGGACTGGTAATCAACGAAGGCCATTGAAGAAGAAGAAGAAGAAGTAGAGAAAAACTTACAGATTGAGTGATTGACAGCGAAATCGAGTTCTGGAATGGAAAAGAATGTGAGGAGTGAAAAAAAAGAAGAGAGATATTGGGGTCGGAGAGTGAACGCACAAATTTGACGCTTTGAAATCTTTTTCTGAAACAAGGAACGGATGGTCTACGGAATCTGCGAACCGTTGGATTGGCAGGGAATATCATCGACGATCTGTACACGTGGATAATACTCTGTTTAAACAGTTACTCCTCTTGCACATGAAAATGGAATCAATTTTAACTAAAATTTGATGCGAATATTTGTTTATTTGCATTGCATACTTTATAACAAAAATATATGACAAGTGTTGTACCTGTGTATTGTTTCGCATGTCGTTTTCAATAAAGAGTTGTTTTTTTTTGGATTTGTTTTCAATAAAGATTTGTGGTGTTTGTTTTTATTTAGGAACTTTAATTTTTTTGTTGGACAGAAAGAATTTTATATGGAGAATGGTACAAACCTAAAAAGCTATGTGCGTAAGTACAAAAGACATAAAAAATCTTCTAAATTGTATAAAACTTAGGCGAGAGGGAATGATGTTATTGTTCTACCGTGGCAAATGGTGATGGTGTCATCTATTTTATACAAGGGACAAGGAGTAGGGAAGAAGAAATAAAAAAGAGAAAAAGAGTGAGAGAATTAATGAAGGATACAGGAGAGAAGTGTGACACGAGGAAGCGTCTAGGCCACACCCTAGACGGTGTGCGCGTCAGCTAAGCTAACATACCGTTCCTCATGTCCACACCCTGGACGGTGTGCGCATCAACTAAGCTAACATACCGCTCCTCATGCCGTGCCCATTGTTAGGTGTATTTTATGCACATATTTAGCATGTTTATTTCATAACATTGCATTACATTTAGGTTTAGAATCATGTAGTTTATATATTTTCAGGACATTTCATGGTATTAATTCACCCACACGTTTTTATGATTTTCATGAATTTTTGGAGGTGAGATCATGCTAAGGATGATGAATGGAAGCATCGGGTAAAATTTTTAGATTTTTGGAGCAAGGATGCATAAGTTGTGGAAATTGAAGAAATCAATTACGGACTTTTCCACGACTGTGTTTTTTAACACATGAAATAAACACGGTCACGTTTTTGGAGGATTGGAGCCTGAAAACGACGTTTCCACGAGCGTGTTTACTATGCCTAAAAATTTACATGATCGTGTTTTCTCTCACATAAAGCCATTTTCAGCAACGAACTTTCAAGACTTTCCCAACATAGCAATGTACTTTGGGCATTTGCACGATCGTGTTTCTTACTGTCTTAATTTACACGGCCGTGTAAATGAGAACGTGAGTTATTTGCCAGTTTCTGATTTTAACTAAAAAAAGTGGGCTTACCTCATTTCCAAGAGTAGTCAGTTTTGGAGCTTTGAAGGGCGATTCTTAGATGATTTTTCTTGCTTGTTTAACACTTGCAAACTATTTCGGTTCGTATTGTCATATTTTGTAAGTTTGATTTGTGTTTTCATTACATCTAGACTTCGATCTTGATTTAGCGATGTGTGGCTAAATCCTTTCTATTTCCAGTTTTATGGACTACCTAATGTTATGTTTTTAATTCAATGAATTGATGTTATGTTTCACTATCTATCTAGTAATCTAGTAATTGTAGTTATGTTTTAAAAAAGATTTTAATTGTGATTTTGGTTTATGTTGGCCACTTTAATTAGAATTAGGTCATTCTTGTCATTCAACATTTTGAAATTCGTAATTGTTTTGTGAACTTGATACAAAGTGACAACATCAAATTAGTTTTGTGTAACACCTGACTAAAAATAAAGTACACCTAGTTTTTTATTTATTATTATTATTTTTTTAAAAGAGAGTACAATATAATAACCCATAATACAAGTTATTATCATTTTAGATCAAAAGAAACCATACAAGATCGAGCCAGGTTACAATTTTGACAACATCAAATGCTATATGTGTTTATTTCATGTGATGAAGATAATATGTGTTAGACGAAACAATATGAGATGATTTTTATTTAACCATACATGTATTTTCATACTTATAATATATTGGGTAGAGATGTGTGATGAGAGATGAAAAATAATGAGGAGAGACCATGGCTTTACTAGCAATGTGCGGTGTAGCCATCTAATAGAGTATAGATGACGACCACGAATTATTCTAGACAATCGAGTGGAACACTGACAAGTTCGCAACTTATAGGTGATGAACTACATGTTCATGCGATGTACTGTATTTTCCCATTGTTTCCTTATTGCTACGAAATCCTCGAAGCAATATTGTCTACCTATTACTTGCGATGATCCTTAGGACATGTCCTTAGAAATGAATATACAAGAAGACGGGAATGGTTAATTGGGTTAATTGTTTGATGTGGAATATGTAATTAAACAAATTAATTATATTATTGTCGGTTGAAAATTCTATGTACTCATCAGGCCTCTCAGGCTGACCCACTCAACTTTTTGTATCATAGCATTCATAGGTAACGGTACAAAGGTACATAGATAATGATGTTTTGAGAGATTTGAGGAAATGTAGACCATTAATATAATAATATGTCGTAAGGCCTGTTAAGACAAGTTTAAGCTTATGCTTTGTATCGGTTATGACATCCCAAATTTTAAATATTAATGAAAACCATTTCTCTGTAAATGTTTTGATATCGATATTATATCACATTACAAATATTTTTGAGAACAAATTCCGCAATAAAAGAAAACTCTGAATTTAATCAACATAAAGAAAAAGTTTTTATTTGTTGTGAAAATGGGCATGTCACAAATTATAATGAATTTAGACATAAGCTACACTTAAAGCGTAATAAGTGTAGCTTAAATTACAGAGTTTCTAGTGAAAACCGAGAAGTCGTAGACAGAACTCCGACCCGAAAGCTCCTCTTCGTCGGGCTCCTAGATATCTCAGAGCCCTGCTAAATGCTCAGAAGTCCAGAAAAAGTCGGACTCAAGGAGGGAAAATGTCTCTGAGAGAATGAGACTGAATGGTGTGAGGAAAAAGTGAAGAGGTTGTTGCCATTTATAGGCATTTTTGCTAGGCTCGCCGTATATATATAAGGCGCGTGCGGCGCCCTTGTGCTACGCTGCTCCTCCGAATTTGTGACACATGTCAAAAAGGTGGTGGTCTGCATCACCCCTTCCAAAAGCAGTGTGCGCCGCACCATGCCCGCGCACGCACAAATTTTTCAATTTTTTTTTTTTAAAATCGTATCTTTCTCATACGAGCTCCGTTTTCGACGTTTTATATTCACGCACAGTTATTAACGAGTACTGCAACTTTCATTTAGACTCCGTCAACTAAATCTCACGTTTTTTTTAAAGTTATATTTTTTATAGGCTTAGATTGTAAAAGTTCGTACGAAAATCATAACTACTTCATACGAACTACGTGATCGACTGTCTTTATATCGATGACTTCATATTTACGAGATCTTCAACTCTCGTTTACATTGTTTTGGCTAACACTCAACAAATATAAATTTCGATTTATGTGTCGCACATTATTGTACTGAAACTTCGAAAAAATTATAACTTCCTCATACGAATTCAGATTTAGGCGTACTTTATACGCAAGTTCTCGCTTTTACGATTACTACAAAGTTCTTTTAGATTACTTAGGCTAATAAGTAACTTATCTCCGATTTGTATTTTACGAAACACTTTGCTATATCGGGCTGAACGCAAAACTTCAAACAATCATAACTTCTTCATACGAAGTCAGATTTGAGTGTTCCTTATATCTACAAAATCATCATCGCAACTACTACAATTTTCGTCAAGATTATTTATCCTAAAAATCTTTTATCAAAAACATTATTTTTATCGCTTAGTGATAAAATGTCTATTTAGTCTGTAACGGATACGACTAAAAATTAATAAAAATAAATATTTATTTATTATAATCACCTAAATCATCTAGCCTTAACTTACGGGGGTTACAAAACTTAGATGACCGTCTTTCTTGGCAGCTAGATTTGAATAGCACTTTCACGGTTTCTTCCATGAGATTTTTTCTTGATAATACGTTTCTCATGACTTCTATGTATGCGACTCAATGTAATTCTTTGGTTCCGATAAAGTAAAATGTGTTGCTTTTATGGATTAAGATTAATCGTATCCCCACTCGTCTTTGCCTTTTGCAATGTGGTTTGGAGTTGGATTCTGTTTTGTGTCTTGTTTGCTAGTCGATGGTGGAGTCGTCCAACCACCTTTTATTTCTTGCCCGTAGGTGCAGGTTGTGTTGTCCTTAATTAGTAGGTTTTAGAATATCATTTGTCCTAATTCTTTTGTGATTGACTCGTGGATCACTTGGGCAAATTCTTTATCTTTTTTGGGAGGTCAAAAGAAAAGTTTTGATGCAGTTGTTATCACTGCTTTACTTTTTGGGTAGTTTGAAATTATTGAAATAACTTAGTTTTCGCTAGGGGTGACCGTAGGCGGGTACCCGCCCTAAATGTGTTGCTTTTGCGGATTAAGATTAATCGTATCCCCACTCGTCTTTGCCTTTTGCAACGTCGTTTGGAGTTGGATTCTATTTTGTGTCCTGTTTGCTAGTTGGTTCCGAAAGCAGGCACCCTGTTCTGATGCTCATCCCTAGTTTTCGCAGTTGTTATCACTGTTTTACTTTTTGGGTAATTTGAAATTATTGAAATAACTTAGTTTTCGGGAAGATCAAGTCAAAAGTCAACGATTTTCGACGGCATAGTTTTCTTTTCTGTATTTTTGGAATAGAAGTAGATCTAAAGATTTTAATTTTAACTGTACATGATGGCGAGTTTGTAATTTTTTTTGCTAGCTACTTGCTTAAAAAAAACGGTATACCAGTTCGGATATAAATGAAATAGTATAAAAAATAGACAAAATTCACAATTGGTCCCTGTGGTTTACATAATAGCGCACTTTGAGGACTTCCTAGCAAAAAATCACGCGACTGGTCCTGTGGTTTGTAAAATCACATGAAAGGTCATCCTGCCGTTAAATCTAACTTTTCAGCTGTTAGATTTTAATGGAAAAGACTATTTTGCCCTTGTACCGATACTGCAATACGCTACAAGCCTCAAGGACCATTCGTGTAATTTTATATATTTGAAATTTTATGTATAGATAAATTATAAATATAAATTCCATAGATATATATATATATATATATATAGATATATAGATATATATATATATATATATATAGATATATAAATATAAATTTTATATATATGTATATATATATATATATATATATATATAATTTCAACAATTTGATAATTTTTTTTTATCTTTTTGACATTTTGTTTTCTATTTTTATTTTATAGTTTTAGTTATTTATGGTTTTTTGTTTTATTTTTATTTATTTTGAATCAAGTAAATAAACTTAAATTCGATAAACCATGTCGAAATTGTTTTTTCTTTAATTTTTCTTATTTGTGAATTGAAGCGTTAATGTTTTTTTTATTTTTTATTTTTTAATTTTATATCGTTACTGTTCATGTTTTTTTTATGCTCCATAGTTAATATTGTTAGCAACTTTATGTTTGCATTTATCATTATCATTATTTGACCTTTTGTTTTCTATTTTTGTTATAATTTTAATTATTTATTATTCTTCTATTGTTTTTATTTATGTTGATTCAAGTAATGAAAAATAGAAAAACAAAAAACAAAAACTCAAACACCAAATTCTAATATACTCTAATATATTAATACATTTTACATATTCATCTTTTTTGGTTTTTTCGTATTTTTTTTAATTTTTTAGTATTATTTTTTTTAATTTTTTTCATATTATTTTTTAATTATTTCCTATTTTTATTTTTTAATTATTTCATATTTTTATTTTTTTCGTTGTTTCGTTTTATTTTTCATCAATTTGATAACTTTTTTTTGACCTTTTCCAAAAAGTGTAGAATGTATGAATATATTAGAGTATATTACAATTTTGGTGTTTGAGTGTTTTTTTTTTTTTTTTTTTTTTTTTTAATTTTGGTTATTTATGGTTTTTGTAACTTTTTTTTATCTTGATTCGCGTAAATAAAATAGTTATATTTACAAATATAAATAAAGAAAATAAACATAAATTTTTTATTTACACAAATCAAAATAAAAAAAGTTACGAAAACCATAAATAACCAAAATTAATAAAAAAAAATACGAAAAAAACCAAAAAACATGAACAGTAACGGCATAAAATTTATATTTATAATTTATATGTATACGGAATTTATATTTATAATCTATATATACATAAAATTTATATTTATAATTTATATAAATACGGAATTTATATTTATAATCTATATATACATAAAATTTCAAATTTATAAAATTACACGATGGTCCTTGATGTTTGTAGTGTATTGTAATATTAGTACAAGGGCAAAATAGTCTTTTTCATTAAAATCTAACAACTGAAAAGTTAGATTTAACAGCAGGAGGACCTTTCATGTAAACCACAGGACCAATTGTGAAATTTTGTCTAAAAAATAAAATAAAGTTAGCGAAAATTTATGGGAAATCTTCGAAAAAGTCCCAAAGTTTTGGGCCAATTTACGATCTAGTCATAAATTAAATTTCATTAACGAAAAAGGACAGATTACCGGCTAATGTAATCACTTTAACCCTCACTGACCATTTCAGCAGGTTACTTGATGAGGTGGCGCACAAAGTGGACTTTTGGCTAACGTGGCAGCTAATGTGGCATTCCTCTATTATTTGAAAAATCAAATGTTTAGGATAAAAATGGGAGGATGGGGACTCGAACGTGTGACCTTCAAATTGAAAATCATGCTCTTAACCAATTGAACTGAAGGACTTTTATGAATTTACTCCATAACATTTACATTTAATGTAATAAATTTTGAAGTCAAATTAATTAAAAAGGATGCATGTTGATTCGAACCGGTGACCTCCACCTTCAAAACCAAACTCCTAAACCTTACCTCCCCACCCCATACCTTCCTTTTTACAAATATCTATTCCTCCATATTCTCTTAACATTGGAAGACCCACTACCACTCCGGACAACCAAGATCAGAGCACATCCCTTGAAGTCAAAATCTGGCCACTTCACATGACCTCTTCAGGAAACTCTTCCCCCTCTATTCACATCCAGAAATACAAAAGCCTGATCTCTACCAACCCTAAAGAACCAACTGAATCTACAACGATCCCTCTCTGTCTGCATCGTCATAAAAAGCTCCTCATTCTTTAGATTTTTCACAAGAGTTGTTCTTGTTTGTCACTGTGCTTTGAATCGTGTTATAGAGGAGGACCACCAACGAAGAGGATTTGGGATTTGAACATGCTTCTACAATTTTCATATCCCTCTTCTCTGATTTACCGATTTAGGGTTAAGTTATGTTTTATTTGCAGGTTTAGGGTTCGATTTTTGAGGTTTGAGTCATTGAGTGATGACTGGTGGTGGTAGCAGGAGGTGTTGGGGTGATAGGGGGAGTGTCAGACTTTAGAAATAGGATAGAGAAGAGAGAGATGGGTCTGTGAGAGAGATAAAGAGTGAGGAAGATTACCGATCTGGTAGAAGACAAGAAACCATACTTAGAAGAAGTAAAAGAGATGAAGACGAAGATTGTGGAGGAACAAAACCTACTGGACAGATGCTTCATCGGATTTGTTTCTCTCCGACGGTATCCTTAAATTTATAGATTCACCGAAGAAGAAAGGAAACACGGGAAAGGAAAGGGAAGATATTTTTTATTTTTTTAATTTAAAAATTATAAAGAATAAAATAAAATTATAAATGAAATTAGTTTCCACGTCAGCCTAGCACGCCACTTGGCATGCCACCTCAGCAATAACCTGCTAAAAAGGTAAAAAAGGGCTAAAGTGATTACATTAGCTGGTTTTCTGTCATTTATCGTTAATGAAATTTAATTTGGGAAATTTAATTTGGGAATAGATTATAAGGCCCAAAATTTTGGACTTTTCTGCAAATGTCCCAAAATTTATTTTAAAGGGACTCTCTTTGGTCTTTCTCCGATTCGCCATTTTGACTTCGTTCTAATCCGATTTCCGTTGCTTTCAAGGTTTCAGCTGTGAATTGAGTGAGGACAATTCTATCGTGTATAGAGAAAAGGTATGCTTTAATTTCGTCCTACAATTCTCAATTTCATAATTTATAGCCGATTCTGGTATAGCTTTATAATAAAATATGTTCCGGTGAAGTCACCGGTAAATACTGATTTTCATCTTTGTGATGCTTTCTCGAGCTCCGAGCTGATAACGTTTCGATTGTCCAATGGTGTTGTGGTTGCGTCAATAGTCTAATTAGGTTTTTGTGCTCTTATGCGAATATCAAATTCCAGAATTAATGACAATAACATATTTGATTTCTGCCAGATGATTGCCAATAACCACTGTTATAGTTCAAAATAGGATGTAAGGATCTTTTGCATTTTGTATTGTTATGTGATAATGAAATCTCACTTGCTACTATTTAAGAAACATTGCACATATACAGTTCTTAAAGAAAAAATTCTGATATCAAACAGCTTAGACTGAAGGTAAAATGACAATCAAGAACTCAAATTCAGAGCTTGTACCTATTGCATCAACCATTTCTCCACCAAATTCATATGGATCCGTTGTTCTAGGAGGCACTTTTTGATCGCTTACATGATGGTCATCGCCTTTTTCTTAAGGTTTGATTCCATATCTATTTTCTAATTCACATTCAAACACTCAAACACATCAGATGCATGTATTGAACTATTGAAGGGTTTTTATTACACTTTTCTGAGATATGAAGACTTTCAATGGCTAACTGTAGGCAGCTGCAGAGTTGGCTAGGGATCGAGTTGTAGTAGGCATTCTTGATGGCCCAATGTTGACCAAGAAACAGGTTTGACCTTTCTCCTTCACTCTTTCATACCAACACACTCAATTTGACAGATTTGTATTACTTTTCTATTCACATTCACTTGCAGTTTGCCCATCTTATTACACCTATTGAACATCGACAAAAAGTTGTTGAAGATTACATTAAGGTATTTGAATGTTTATTCTTCATTAGTAATTTAGTAAGTATATATATACAATACACCCCATTTGTGATTCCTTTTGTTTTCAGTCTATAAAGCCTAATCTAGAAGTAGAAGTTGAACATATAACAGATCCTTATGGTCCTTCAGTTGTTGATAAGAATCTGGAAGCCATTGTTGTCAGCCAGGAGACACTGCCTGGTGGATTATTGGTAAACAAGAAGAGAGCTGAGAGAGGTCTTTCACAACTAAAGGTGCATATATTCTTGAACAATTTCACTGTTTTTTTAATATATAATAGCTGAATGTAAAGATTTTGTTGCAGGTTGAGGTTGTAAATCTTGTATCTGATGAATCTAGTGGAGAAAAACTGAGTTCTTCTACATTGAGGAAGGTGGAGGCTCACATTGCTGGAAAACTTTAGCTAGGTTTAACAGGTATGCATCTGTAACATATTTCTACGTATGCATAATTCCAATAATAGTTGAGATGTTGAGATTCGTTAAAATTGCAAATTTACACTTATTCCCGTGTGAAATTGTGGTTAGGGACGAAGCAGTCATTTTATATTGGTTAGGGACCAAATCTGCAACAAACTGAATCCAGAGGGATAAATTTGCGTCTTTGTGGACCAAACTTGCAAAGATGGTATAGCACGGGGTTAAACTTGTAATTTTACAATGATAGAGTGTAGATCTAGAAATGATAAACATACTTTCTTTTTAGAAGCAAGATCTTATAACTTCTATATCAAACTACCTGTATGCTAAACAGATTTGCTTCCTACAAGTATTCATTCAAGTACACTAATTTTTATTGCATTTACATATTAATTTCCAGATCTGTAAGTTTTACAAATTGTAATGTCATTTCTGGTTCTCCATCCTTTCATAAAATAATGGTTAATATATTGAAATACTTGAACACTAGCAAATTTACAATTATTCCTGAAAGAAATCATGCATGGGGTATGTGTCGTTCGCAAGGCGGAAATAAAAAACAGAAACAAATGATAATTAATATTGATGATTATTTATCATTTTGTTGCGTATAAAAAAACCAGACTATTGTTATTATGATTACAAAGGTTGTCCAAGAACCGGTCTCATAATCAGACGAATTAAAAAGACGGAATAGAGAAGATAAGGAATTCTTCTATTGAATTAAGAAATAAAAGAAAATTATAACAAAATCAGCATCAATTGCCACCATATATTTATCGCTTTCCGAAAGTCAAATAATAATGCCGAAAGAAAAACCAGATTTACTTCTTGATGAATGTACATGACCTTAGATTAGAGGGAGTGTCGATACTTTTGCCACTCTTTTTACCGTCATGTAAGCGTCACACCCTTTAATTTGTTTTCTCTTTTATTTAAACAAATTAATTTATATAAAAACGAAAAATTTTCATCACCTTGAAAAGAAAATGACAATAGAACATATATATATATATATATATATATATATATATATATATATATATATATATATATATATATACACACACTCACACACACACACTTTAGTTTTTTATTTTATTTTCAACAATTTGATAACTTTTTTTTATGTTTTTAAATTTTAATTTCTATTTTTTTTAATTTTACTTATTTATGGTTTTTTAATGTTTTTATTTATTTTGCTTCAAGTAAATGAACTTAAATTCAATAAACCATGTTGGAACCATTTTTCCTTTAATTTTTCTATTCGTAAATTGAACTGGTAATGTTTTTTTTAATTTTATGTCGTTACGGTTCATATTTTTTACTTAGATGTCCACCAAATGACCGGAGTTGTAATTTTTAGTTATTGAAAATAAAAATTATGTTGAAGTTATATATATATATATATATATATATATATATATATATATATATATATATATATATATATATATATATATATATATATATATATACTAGTCGTTTACCCGCGCCAAACGACGGGTGCAAATATTTTTTATTTCAGAAATTAGTTTCTAGAGGCTATTAGTTTATTATTATTATTATTTTTTAAAGTAGTTATCAATTATCAATAAGAGTCATGCTAGTAAAAAAGAAATCAATAAAAATTAAAAATGAAAAGTTGTGATTCTTTACAAATGTATATGAACACATGATTGATTGTTAATTATTAATCGTGCACCAATTCTTTATACACCAATTCAATGTATAGATTTCGCTACCGTTGAATTATTCGCAAGGGTTCACTGATACTTTTGTATTGGCACGTGATATTCTTCTGGATAATGTCATATAAAGTTGGTAATGCGAGAAAACTGGTTCAGTAAGATAAAAAATAAAGAATTATGATTGTTTACAAATATGTATGAATGCATAATTGATTGTACATTAATAATCGACTCTTAAAGTTACAGTGTCATATTTTATTAGAATATTATATATATATATATATATATATATATATATATATATATATATATATATATATTACAATATACTCGTATTAATATTATACATAATTATACAAATTAGCATAAGTTATATACATTCAAACTGTTTCTAGTTAAAAATATAAAAACTTTTGGCTTATAATTAAAAATATATTTTCGTTTTAGGTCGGTACATATGAAAGAGTATTCAAGGGTATATGCCTTGGAGTTTTTGGTTTAAAGTAAAAATAAATTCTTATTTTTGGTTAAAAATAACATGTTTAATGTTTTGGGTTGAAAAATAAAATTGTTGAAGATGCATGGGCGGATGGCAACTGTTTATTGGAACAACAAACCGAGAAAATCAAACTCAAATGCCTAATGGGTCTAACTAATCGTGTTGGTTCAATTATTCATATTAACGTCTCAAACTTGTTCGTTGTTTCAAATTTGATTTTATAACTACAAACTTATTCATGTCAACTGTTTTAATAATTTAAGTCTATATTCTCTAGAATAATTGAAAAACAATAAAAAAAATACTAAAGCAAATAATTTAAGCATGTAGCAATCAATACAAAATGTTGTCAACAAAAAACAAACTAATTAAATGTGTGTTAATAACAAAAACACCAAGATGCTTGGAATCAGTTATGTACTTGACGTTGAATGAAAATATTTGAACTACTACCAGTTACCAAATGAAAAATGAATATCTTAAACCATATGAATTTAAGTTATAATCCAAAAAATATGGACAATTAAAAATTGCCTATGAGAGCATCTGCCATCTTATGTTTTATGAAGCAAAATAAAAAAAAACTCAAGTGATTAAGAGTAATCCACCTTTTATGTAAAAATAGTTATTAAACCTCAAATAGCATACAATTGTTTTTTCAACAAAAATTGTACATATGAATGATTAATTGCATTGAAACATGCAATACCTAAAGAAAGTGCTAGTAAAAAGACAGGTACATTGGAGTCTCGATGCTCATCCCTATTTACAATAATCATTAAGTTGAACAACACATGGGCTAGGAATACCTTATTCATTACAATATCCTACATTCAATCCACCCTTATAAACTCTACCCCCAAATACCCCACCAAAAAATTCCCATAGTACCCCCTTTTTTTATTGCATACATCATCAACACTTCCTTGAAACACTTTCCTTTGCACTTTTCAGGAAATGACCAAAATACCCTTTCTTTCTAATTCAAACCAAATGGTCCCAATGTCCTTCAACTCTTTATAAAAAAAGTGAATTAATCCATTTATGCAAATCTTGTATTTGTAAATACCAAATATACCCTTTATTTTTCAACTTTTTTAATAGTGAAACTGATCAGGCATCCATTGAGTCTTTTTTTTTTTCTTTTTTCTATCCATTAAAATGATGAATATAGTATATTTTATCCAAAGTGTAAAAACAAAGTATAGATGTTAAGATAATAGGAAAAACCTCCAATTCTTATCCGTCCAGAAACATGAAATAATCCAACGGTTATCAATCTGAGCACCTCCCTTGACCCTTGTCAAGTGCATAAGAGTCATACATGCATGAATACTTATAGTCCGCTGAATTTTCAATAACTTGAACCCAATAGAGTCAAACATAGATGCCTAATCTTGTAGCTTGTTTGAGTAAAACTGTAGTTAACATTGTAACATGTATTGAAAAAAGTTTGAACCTTTCATATGTGTATTTTGTTGTTCTCCAGTTTCCAGCATTACCTGCATATATAGAAGAATGATCTTCATCCTAGGTATAACAATAAATCCCAATAAGTTCTATGAAGTATGTTGAAAACAATTACATTTGTTTTCATTGTTAGCTACAGGTCCTAATATCTCTCATCTACTTTTATTTAAAAAAAACCACATACAAAAGGGAATCAAGAAACAAAACCTGAGTAAACCACATGATATGTGTTCATAGCTACCTGTATTAAAATAAATAGTTAAATGGAATTCATGAGGTTGATTTTGTAATATCGTAGTTCCAAAGTCAATATCACCTAAAGTCATTGGAGCTCCTGAAGTCATTAGTCATAAAAAAAAAACTTCTCATAACCTACTCATGTTCAACCTTTTAAACATATGGATCCTAAAAATTGAAACATCAAAAAGATAAAGTGTTAGTTAGTGATGACATTTTAAAATCAGTGATTGAGTTTCCTGAAAAACCTTTTCCTATATCGATGCATCAGTAATACTTCACTGAAATTCTTAAACTTGGAATGAAAACAACCTAAAATGCTGAAAACGAAAAATATGTTAGAATACCTGCAAGTCAGCTTAATACCTAAAAAATAAAGAGATGGGAAGAAATCAAGGGGCGGTGGTGATCGATGGTCAGAAATGGTACCTGAGGATATTGCTTCGAAAATTGAAATCAAGGTCAAATGATGAGAGTGATAGAGCAACGTTGGTGGTTTAGTGGTGGCGTGGCAAGGGTAAACGATGGCGGTGAGTGGAACCAGATTCATTCCTAGAACAAAGAGAGAATTATATTCAAAACCTCAAACGGTAACTGATATTTTTGAGGTTTCCTCGATGCAGGTCCCAAAGATGAAAAGGCCACACCATTTTGCTTCAGATCTATTATCTTGAATGTAATGGTTATGGAGGTCGGCGACTTCAAGGCTGCAATTGGTGGTGACTTAGTCAGCAAGTGGTAATTTTTCACAGGTAGTAGGCCGCCTATTTCAGTGGTGGTAGTGAAACCACCATTAATGAATGCAAGGTAGCACCATGGCAATGGTGAGCATCAACGATGCTATTCTGGTGAGTGGTATGCGATGGTGGTGTTGGCGGTGGATAGTTGCAATAGTAGTGCGTTGGGTGGTGGCCGACGTTAGTGTTAGAGGAGAATAAGAGAGCGGCTGGTGTTAGGGTTTGAAAATTAGAGAGTGGAAGTGTAAGAGGGGGAGGCTGTGACTGAGGGACGACGGCTAGGTTTTGTGGGTCTAAGATTTTAACAAAGAGAACGACTATACCTGCAATCAAAGCAAATCAAAGCAACAATGTGAAGTGACGATGGTGATGTTGGGTTTTGTAGCAGTTGTATATAAAGTTAATAATGGCTTTGAATAAGTCTCTCACTTTGAATGAGTCTATCACATGATAACGAATTAGTTCAATTTTAGCTAAAAATGAGGGTGTGCCAAATGGATAAGAATTCAAATACGTATTATTTGACCTTTTTTTTACTAAGATTTCAATGCATAAATTGATTGTAAATATCGTATTAAAGTTTGTACCTTTTAAATTTATGTATATTAAGGTATAATATATATATATATATATATATATATATATATATATATATATATATAATTTAAAATTTTTAAAATTAAACAA